ACAAAAGGAGGAGGCTGCAATGCTTGGTAAGAAATGTATGCATTATCCTGCCCATGTAATTGTAACTCCTCTGTACAGTATGTTCACAAATAAAATAAAATTAAATTAAAAAAAGAAGTATCTATGCCAGAATGTAGAATCTTGCCTTTTAATGACTGTATTGTGGCCAATACACATATTAATGTTTTAGACATACTAGTTTGTCCTCTGTTTCATATAAAATATAAAGTTTCTTCACCTGTATCTTTTAGATTTCAAGTATGCATATAGTTTACTGACCCCCTTCACAGACATGTGGGCATCTTATGCTGCTTCAGAAAGGCATCTCGCATGGCTAATTCCCCCACAACTATTTAATTTTTTCCCCAGAACTTCAAAAGGTTGCACAAGGGAGCTTCAGTTTAATATGTTCCTGCTTCACTTATTCTCCCCATCACATCTGTTACCTTGACCCTGATTCATTTCATAGTTCTCACTTCTTTTGTCACACATGTACATTAGGTATTCTTGCTGTATTTTCTCATTTCCTTTTTCATTCATTTATCACCAGCTGCCTTTCAATAACCACCTCCCACTTAGAATTTCACTTCAGTTCCTGATAAAGATATAGCTCAGACTCCTCTTGAGCTTGTAATCTTCCTGTTTCATTCTCCTCACTTATTATCAGCATGCACCATTATTACCACAGCTTTTGACTATTTCTATCTTGTCTACTTTTTCTTAGTTTTATCTGAAGCTTTTCACAGAAAGCTTCCCACTCCACCTGATCTAGGAACATCAAGAAAGGTGGTAGCAAGCTGTTCCAGAAACAGCAGTAGGAGGCAAACTGTCCCAGGCCTGGCTGCCAAGTAGTAGATGGCCTGCCATACCTCCAGATAGTACCAGAGACTTCCAGGGCTTGGCAACTGAACACATAGAGGATAGTGCTGGTACTGTTCATGCTGACAGCCATAGCATCTAAACTGTCCTGTTGAACTTCAAAGTCTGTTTCAGGCAGGCATAGCCTTAAAACCTTGCCTGACAGAGGTGGCCTCTCCAGGGTGGGAATCAGTTTATCTGGTATTCATGCTTGATTTTGCTCAAAACATGATATAATGACATCATAGTGGAATTGGCTGCCAGGGCCACATGCAGACAATTTTCTCCATCAGGCATGGAAAAATATCAAGAGGTGATGGGACAAAGATCATTTAGGAGAAATGAAGTAATGCAAAGATTATCAGCAAGAGCACCAGCATAATGTTGAGGAGATCCCTGAAACTCAGGATCATGTGGGCAATGATCAGAAAGGAAGGAAAGTAGAGTTTTGGACTAATCAGAGACATTGGCCATGAAGATGGATTTCTCCTGACCATACACAGATGAGTGTGTTTATAGTACCATAAAAAGAGCTGTCTGCTGGAAGATGAAGGTAACATCTAAGAAATAAACATATTGAAGCATCAGGAGAATTAGCTGATGTCCAACACCAGGACCCATTAAAAGTGGAACAACAGCAGGAGGGACTGTAAGTCCAGGAAGTCAGAGGTGAAAAATTCCTGAGATTGAAATAGCTCAAGGGTAGTACTTGTAACTGAAACACATCCCCATTTTTCATTGAACTTCAATCATAAAAAAATGATGCTGGGGGCTGGGAAGATGGCTCAGTGGTAGAGCACTTGCCTTGTATGCTTGAGGTCCTGGGTTCGATTCCTCAGCACCACATAAGCAGAAAAAAAGCCGGAAGTGGCGCTGTGGCTCAAGTGGTAGAGTACTAGCCTTGAGCTGAAGAGCTGAGGGGCAGTACCCAGGCCCAGAGTTCAGGCCCAACAACCGGACCCCCCCCCAAAAAAATGATGCTGGGCATTGTTGGCTCATGCCTGTAATCCTACTCAGGAAGTTGCAATCTGAGGATCGAGGTTTAAAGCCAATCCAGGCAGAAAAGTCCATGATGCCCATATCTCCAATTAACTAACAAAAAGCCAGAAGTGGAGCTGTGACTCATATGGTACAGTGCCATCTTTTAGTGAAAAAGCAAGCAAGAATTTGAGGCCTTGAGTTCAAGTCCCAGTATTGACACCAAAAATAAAACAACAAAATAGGATGTTGAGGTTCCTCAGTTGCAGCACATGCAGCCTGGGGCATCCCAAATGAAGATATCTATAGCATGAGGATCAGGCTAGAAGTGCTTCAAGAAAGGCAACTATGGGAAGCATCTCTCAGGTGAGTGGCTTGAGAAGGCAAGGAGTCTGCAACCTCAGAGAATGAGATGATGCAAGGAAGGGAACTGAGTTGTGGTGCTGGTTGACAGCAATTGTTTAAGAATAAAAATGGTTTTCTGTAGGAGACATTAAACTGAATAATCAGTGCTAGAAGCCAAAGAGGTTAGGTGCAGAGTCTAACGTAAACCTAACTTCAGATGGCTCAGCTTCTGGGGAATCTGTAGCTGCATGCCTGTGTTAAACCCTAGCATCTTTGTTCCTTAATATTTCTTTTTTTCCTTTTTCTTAGAGTATGTTAGAGTGTGTTAGAGTAAGGAAAGGTTTTCTTCCATACATGCACATAATGTGCTGTGAATTAATCCTCTCTATATTTTTTCATAGTTTCAGCAGTGAATAATAATGAAATGTTATTTTAAATATTTTTTCAGTTTACTCTCAAGTACACTATTTCTGTTGGCAATTTGAAGATGCATATTGACCAAAACTAAACGTATTACCTAAAACTTTTATTTAGAAGGCTATTATCTAAAAGCTAATTGGCTGACCCATCAGTGTTTTTCTTTGCCCCATCAGCTTTTGTTGGGGCATTGTATTTAGATAAAAATATAAGGTGCACACTATATTGCACCTCTGAATATTTTGACAGATGTTGCTGTACATAAAACTAGAAGTTGCCTGGACAAGGGTCTCATATCTAAAATATACTTGGAACTCAAAAAATTAAACCCCCCAACAACAAATCTGCAAAGAAACAACTGCCCAATAAATAAGTGGGTGAAAGACTTAAAGAGAAACTTCTCTGAAGAAGAAAGAAGGCCAATAGACACATGAAGAAATGTTCAACATCCCTAGCCATAAAAGAAATGCAAATCAAAACAACATTGAGATATCACCTCACTCCAGTTAGAACGGCAAAAATCAAGAACTCTAACAACAACAGATGCTGGAGGGGATGTGGACAGAAAGGAACCTTACTTCATTGTTGGTGGGAATGTAAACCTGTTCAACCACTTTGGAAAGCAGTATGGAGGTTCCTCAAAAGACTTCACATAGAACTCCCCTATGACCCAGCAATCCCACTTTTGGGCATTTACCCAAATGTTTACAAACAAGACCACACTAAAGCTACCAGCACAACTATGTTTATTGCAGCATTATTTACCATAGCTAAGATATGGAACCAACCCAGATGCCCCTCAGTAGATGAATGGATCAAGAAAATGTGGTATATATACACAATGGAATTCTATGCCTCCATCAGAAAGAATGACATTGCCCCATTTGTTAGGAAATGGAAAAACTTGGAAAAAATTATATTAAGTGAAGTAAGCCAAGCCCAAAGAAACATAGGTCCCATGGTTTCCCTTATTTGCAATATCTAGTATATGTATGAGTCAAGCAGAAAAGGTCAGATAATGTAATGTCAGGAAAATGAACCCTTAGATATGTATTTTAATGTTTTTTTCTTTCATGCATGTGTTTCTAATGCACTTATAAGATTATCTCTTTGTTGCTTTGTATGTCCCTCCCCCACAGTATAACCCCTGCTTTCACTATATTTGATGTCAGTATAACTTGTGGAGGAGATGGGGAAAAACCAGTTGTTTAAGGATACAGGTGGACCTGTTGCAACAATGAGAAGTACAAGTTGTCATGTCCAAAACGAGCTTTACAATGTCGGTGCGGAGAGGGGGGTGGAGGGGGGAAGGAGAAGCATTGGGATGGAGGGGTAGGGGGGAGGTTGGGAAGTGATGTTAAGGGTAAACAAAGGAGGAGGCTGCAATGCTTGATAAGAAATGTACGCATTATCCTGCCCATGCAATTGTAACCCCTCTGTACAGTATGTTCACAAATAAAATAAAATTAAATTTAAAAAAAGAAAAAAGAAAAAGAAAAAAAATTAGAAGTTGCCCTTTAGAGACTTAGAGAGAGGGATAAAGAACAGACATAATTGTTTTTCTTTGTGGAGTTACAGTGATTGATCCTAGTGCTTTCTGCATGCTAGGCAAGTGCTCTACCACTTGAACTATGCCTCCAGCTCTTTAGTTTATATTTTGAAAGAAACTTGCTAACTTTCCTTGTGTGAACTCACATTCCTCCCTCCTGATTCTGCATGGAGAGGAGCTGGAATTACAATTATGTACCACCAGGAAGTGGCGCTGTGACTCAAGCGGTAGAGTGCTTGCCTTGAGCTAAAGAGCAGAGGGAGAGTGCCCAGGCCCAGAGTTCAAGCCCCACTACCGGACCCAAAAAGCAAAAACAAAAACAAAAACAATTATGTACCACCATATCCTGAAACAACATACATCTAAGTGTCATTAGGCTAGAATATAATTATCACCTGAGCAACTTGGTAAATTGCTTCAAAGTGCTTATTCATTAGAAATAATCATATAATAAGGCTACATGTAATAAGAGAAATCAGAATGCATACATTTTCTTCCATTTATTAGTCATGATTTATCAAAAAATCCAAATGACAGATACAATTTTATTTATTCCATAACTATAAGCTTAAATTATCAAATAGAACAGTAATTTTTATTATAGTTGAATCATGTAAAAACTATTCATTTAATTTTGCACATTTCTGGGTTAAAACAGTCTAAATTCCAGATAAACCATACACTTTCATCCATCTATACAAGTTGGCTAATTAAGTATATAAAGGATCCTATAGATTCATAGGCCAAAATAGTCACTAGACTCAGTAGATTATCATATTAGATAACTATATAATTCAGATTGCATTTCACTGTATTATAACAGTCTAATCATAGAGAAACCATTTTTTATACTTTAGATTATATTGAGACTCCCTAGAACTTTTCTCAGGGTTACTTTTATCTCCTTATTCCGAAGGCTGTAGATGATGGGATTAAAAAGTGGGGTCACCATAGCATAGAACAAAGTTGCAACTTTCTGCATTCTTACAGAGTGTTGGAGTTGTGGGCTCACATACATGACCATCAGAGAACCATAGAACAGTGACACCACAGTCAGATGGGACCCACATGTGGAGAAGGCTTTATGTCTCCCAGTGGCTGAAGGCATCTGCAACACAGCTATTAGAACAAGAGTATAGGACCCAAGAATGAAGAAGAAGTTACCAAAGATAACTAATGAGCTGAGGGTGTAGCAAAGCAGTTGAGTTCTTGGGGCAGAGGCACACATCAATGAAAAAAGTGGCCCTGGATCACACACTATGTGGTCGATAATTTTTGGGCCACAGAAGGGCATCTGAGAGATGAGAGCAATAGGGATTAAGAACCACAGGAATCCACAAACCCAGCAGATAATGACCAGTTTGGAACAGCAATTCCTAGTCATGATATTTAGGTAATGCAAGGGGTGGCAGATAGCCAGGTATCGATCAAAGGCCATGACAGTTAAAAGGAAGCATTCTGATGTTCCCAGTGAGAAAAAGAAATAGAACTGGAGGAGATGTTTTGATTCTCTGGAAGGAAGTTCACCAACATCTTGGGGACTGTAGAAGAGACATACCAGATCTCTAGAAAGGAGAAATTCCCCAGGAACATGTACATGGGGGTGTGGAGTCGCTGATCACATAATAGGGCACAAACAATAGCCCCATTTCCTGTTATAGTGAGGGTGTATGTTGTAGTGAAGAGGGAGAAGAGGAGGACCTGAACCTCCCATGGGTAAGAGAAACCTTGGAGCATAAATTCTCTTGCAAATGCAAAGTTGCAATCGGGTACAGAAGCATTCATTGGATCTTAACTTGCAAGGTCAAGAGACATACATACCATTACCAGTTCAGACCAATTTAAAATGTGTTACTCTAAGAATGAAGAGTAGCCAGGAGGTGGTGGCTCATACTCAGGCTCATACTCCCAGCTACTCAGGAGGCTGAAATCTGATATTGCAGTCGAAATCAGCCTGAGCAGACAAATCCAAAAGTCTCTATCTCCAATTAACCAGCAAAATTCTGGAAGTGGTGGTGACTCAAGCTCCAGGCTTAAGTGAGAATATAAGGCCTTGAGTTCAAGACCAAGTACTGAGGGAGAGAGAAAGAGAGATGGGGGAGAGAAAGAGAGAGAGAGAGAAGGAGAGAGGAGAGAGAGAGAGAGAGAGAGAGAGAGAGAGAGAGGTGGAGAATGGGAGAGAGGGGGAGAGGGGAAATGAACAATAGATAGTCATGGGATTATTTTTCAAAAGAATTCTAAATTAGATAGCACATTTTATTGGTTTCTTGGCTATATGCTGTAATTATATAGTAGACAGCTTTCTACACAGTAATAAACTTTTGCTTGATTTTAAATCTTTCCTTTGCTCTTTGATCGATAGATATAGATATAGCTAAGCTCATTTTGTAAGATATTATTTTGAGGCAGGATGATCTACAATAGTTTCTGGTTAGTATTTAATACAAAATTTTACTTGATGTATTTTCCTCACTCCAAACCCTACTTATTGTGCCATAGACTCAGTAAAGAGTTAAAAGTATTTCATGATATTTCAGTTAGAAATTTTACTTAATATTATTTAAAAATACAAGGCAATTTAGATGTAAATTAGTAAAAATCACTTAAAGTGATTACTGCTTCTGAATTTATATTGTTGTTACTATTAACCTGAGCATCAAAAAAATCAATTATATAATGTTACTTACCAACACTAACTTTTTAATATTGTAGTTGCAATGTCTTCTGTAGGAAACAGAGGCTTTAGATATTTTCTTTATCTTTCATTTTGATTTCTAAAGTTGATATTTTTTGTACTAATATAGCCAATATCATATTGATTTAGTCATTAGTGCAGAAGTTTGTGAAAGAAGGCATAGGCATGGAACCTTGTGTTTGAGGCTTTTCAATAAAAATTTTCTTATATGTCTATATAAAATAAAAAATATATTACATGACTGGAGTTAAATACTTTCTTTTGTCATAGGCAAATTTCTTTCATTATAAATTTTATAAACCATTTCAGGGATCTGAGTTAATTCACATTTAAAAAATATATAGGCATATGACTCTTGAAAGTCAGGAAGGCTTGTTTGTATTTTGGGCAGAAACACAAAAAATTTAAAATAATTTTTTTCCAACCTTGTTTCTATACCAGTACTGCAGTATGAACAGGTAAAAAGTATGCTTGTGCTTCTTTGGTAATGTATAGCTCTTTCAAAAATGCTCTGCACAAGAAACCTTAACAATGTAATTTAAGAATTTATGAAATAAAAGATCACCATAGAGGTCTTGATTTTTAGCAAAAGATCTTTACCTAAAGGATGAAGCTTCTGTAGTTTTGACATACCAATCTCTAAATGGCTTGTTTTATAAAAACTGGCCTGCACCCATACAAAAATTAAGGATAAGCTTTTTTTACCTGTCATTCTCCTGAGATATGGTCTCTATTGAATTAGGAACATACTTCTCAAGCCAACTTATCTCTAAAAAGTTAATGATTACATATTCTCAAAGGAACTAGCAAAGTAGGGTCAACTTCTCCAATGTGCCATTCCTCACAAAGAACTTGCCCATTTTGAATATGGAGTCTGAAATCTTCTACATGGAACAATCTGAGGAACTAGAACATAATGTGTCATAAAATGTTCCTACATGACATTGAGGAACATTTCAAATATCAGTGTGAGTATGTTGGAGGATGAGAGCTCAGTGAGGAAAAAATACTGAGGTGTAGACATTCTCAGATACTGAGTACAGTTCTACAAAATTAGAAAGTCAGCATAGAAAAATCCTTTACATACAAAAGTAAAAGAAACATCAACCTTGAAGTTACCCAACAAAAAACTTGTGCTTCCTAATGAATAGAAGAATAGTATCTGCTTTCATTTATTAGTCTTTCTTCCATGACTTTTTGGGGGCCAGTTTAGCATGACTAGACTTCTTAGTGATGACTAGATATTACCAATTGATATGTACCTTAGGAACACTAGTCCCCATAAAAGACTGCTAAAACGACCAAAAATTCCTTACATTGATGGGATAAGGAGGAAAAAAGTTCTATTTTAGTTCCTAAGAACTCCTAAAATATAGCTATGATCTTTTTATCTGTCTGTTCAAAAAACCTATCTGTGATTTCATGACTAAAAATAAGAGAAAAATTACCAAATTTCACATAGATTGACTTCAAACTATTTTTCTTTTTACTTTCTATTGTTTTTTTATTTTTCTTACTTTTCATTTGAGGTAGTACCATTTTATACTTTTGATTTGTATTCCCCTGATATTAAAGACATTGAGTATCTTTTAAAAAACTGTTGCCCACTTGTATATCTTCTTTTGAGAAATATCTATTTATATGATTTGTCCATTTTAAAAACAGGTTATTGGATATTTTTTATGCTGAGTTTTAAAAAAATTCCTTATATATTTTGGAAATTAATTCTTTGTCAGATATATGGCATGCAATCATCTCTCCCAATATGAATCTCCCTTTTCATTCCAACAGTTATTTCCTTTCTATGCAGAACCTATGTAGTTTTGTGTAGTTAATTTGAAATGACAAGAGGAAGACAAGAGTAAGCCTCCAATAATGGGTCCCAGAAATAGCTCCCCAATAATGGTGGGGGAGTTGAGGTCCTCTTAAATTCATTTTCTCACTAGGCCAGAGGAATTTTCTGTCTGTGGAGCTATGTTGACTTGTGAGAGATGTAGTATATCAGATAAAACCATTACTCTCTCCCTGGAAACTTTAGCTTTCTCAGTTTGGTACTGAAAGCAGTATCTCAGCCTCACAGGTTCTGGAACCCGGAGGATAGTTACTAGTACCCTCAGTTTCTGGCAGGTGGGGTGGGGAGTAGAATCAGCAGACATCTACTCTGCTGTCTTGCTAATGATATTCCTATCTTGAACTTTTATACTAAAACGGATTCACTTACCATCATTATTGTATTAGAACATTGTAATTTTGATAATACAATGAATCTCTGACTAATTTTATTTTTTATGTTTTTCATTATTGTTATTTAAGGTAGGAAATTTCCCTTTAGTATTACTTATAAGGTATTTAAGGTGGTGATAAAACTCTCATTGCTTTTGCTGCTTTCTCTTCATTTTTAGAGGATGTTTGTGCTGCATGTGGTAGTGTGTGTGTGTGTGTGTGTGTGTGTGTGTGTGTGTGCTAGGACTAGGATTTGAACTAAGGACTTTACTCTCTTGCTTAGCTTTTTTGTTCTAGACTAGTGTTTTTTCACCTGAACCACACCTCTACTTTAGCTTTTATTGATTAGAGATACATGTCTCTTCAATTTGTCTTCCCTGGTTGGTTTCAGACCACAATCCTCATATCTCAGCCTCCTGAGTAAATAGGGTTACAGATATGAGCCACTGGCACCTGGCAAATAATCGACATTTTATATTATTTTCTTTTCTGCAGTGCTAGAGCTTGAACTCATATCTCATGCTCTTGCTTGGCTTCTTCTGCTCAAAGCTGACACTCTATCACTTGAACTACATCTCGAGTTCCTGGATGTAGCATTCTCAAGTAACAAATTTTTCTTTTTTTCTTTTTTCTTTTGTGGTCATAATGAGTTTATTAGATGAATAAATGAATGGATGAATGAATTAGAGGCAGCAAGGAACAAACTTAGTTTAGTAGAAAAATATGTAAACGTGGGCAAGTCACAGAAATAAAGTAAAACAAAATAATAACAAAAAGACATAAGTTGGGGATGGGAAGGGGCTCAGTGGTAGAGTGCTTGCCTTGCATGCATGAGGCACTGGGTTCGATTCCTTAGCACCACATAAGAAGAAAAAGCTGGAAGTGGCGCCGTGGTCTACTGGTAGAGTGCTAGCCTTCAACTGAAGAGCTGAGGGACAAAGCCCAAGCCTAGACTTCAGCCTCCATGACCAAAAAAAAAAAGAAAGAAAGACATAAGTCCAGCACTTTAATTTATCCTCCTACTTCTGAATGGCACCTACCTTTCCCCTGGAAAAAAATATTAGTCATATAATACTTCCCTTACATGGGAAAATTTGGTTTTCTTTTGCTGATTTAAAATTATCTTTAGCTCTGGGCACCAGTGGCTCATAATGCCTACAATCCTAGCTACTCAGGAGGCTAAGATCTGAGGATCACGGTTCAAAGCCAGCCCAGGCAGGAAAGTCCGAGAGATTCTTATCTCCAATAAACCACTAGAAAACTGGAAGTGGCACTGTGGCTCAAGTCACAGGGCAAGAAGAGCGTTCACTTTGAGCTGAAAAGCATAGGGACAGCACCCAAGCCCAGAGTTCAAGTCCCACAACTGACCCCTCAGAAATTACCTTTAACTTATTTTTTATTCTGAACATAATTTTATTATTACATTGCCTTTATTAAAGTGCATCCCAAGGAAAATGAAGATTGAGAAAATTTCAGGGAAATGAGTACATATTTCTCCTGCCTTAAAATGATTCTTTTCAGACATAACAGTGAGATTTCATTGCCAGGCATGGTTCACATATATAATTCCAGTACTAGGGATGCTGAAACAGGGTTACAAGGTGGAGGCCATTCTGGTTTACATAGTGAGACATCTCAAAAAGTCAAAGGAAGACAAAACAATATAATATAAAGATTTTATTTTAATATACACCTCATTTACATAAAGACTCTTTTAGATCTCAGGCTTACCACAGATAGGGAAGGTAATAAACACAGAATAAAAGGTATTTGAACAAGGTATTTTCAGGAATAGATTGACATGAAGTTGAATTTTCTCCCTATCAGAAGCAGGAGAAGAAGTAGAGCTGTAGCTCAAGTGGCAGAG